GCCGTGATATTGTGATATTGCTGGAATACTGCAAAAAGAGGCGTAAAATATATTAGATATACCGACAACAATTTCGTCTGTTAGGAGGTACTGACGGCAAAGTCGTCCAAGAGCTGCTAGTTTCTTTGCACCATACCCGTGCTTTCTTGTGGGGTATATATTTCACACAGAAAATGCTGTGTTTGACGTTTAACGAAGGGGATCAGCAAGAGCAATTCCACTCAAGAAGGACGACAAACGGTGTGGTTATTGAAAGTCAGCCTGAAAGTTCAGGATATTGTGTCATACGAGGGGCGTTCAAAAAGTAGCCAGCCTCACCTAGAAAATGGTACAAATGCAGCTGTTTTATGTTTTATTTTACTGCATATACCCATGGAAACGAATAAGGGAACACATGAAAGTACAAGTTTTCCTGTATCTATTTCCAGAATTTCAGCCACAGTGCAATACATAGCTTGTGAAGAAACCTGGAAAAGTATAAAGGAATACTTGCACTTTCATGTGTTCCCTTATTCGTTTCCATGAGTATATTTTCTGTCAACCTCAAGCAAATTGGTTTTGCTATTCAAGTCTCACGATCCCCATTTTCTTTTTACGTTTTTTCTTGGTACTCCCCAAAATGCAAAATCTGCAATAAATGAACCACAAACCTCAGGAATCAAAATATGCAAGGAACAAATTTGTGTGTCCGAGATAAGCACAAGTCTGCTAGATTCAAACTTAGATATTAAAGTGCATGAAAAAGAAATTTGAAACTACAATCGGTCATTAAAGTGACCCTCCCCCTTCATGTTTACTTAAAGAGCTTGTTTTGGAGACACTTAACCCCCCCCCTTCTTACAGATGACGTAATCATGAGGACATAACTTATTCTAATGTTTTCACTTATTCATACAAACTGCCAAAGGTTCTAACTAAATACTGAATGATCACACAAGTGTCAGCTATCAACATATTGTAAAAAGTACCAGCTTGAATATCTGGACACAATGTGTTTGCAAGATTAAAATGGAGTATCCTTAAACAATGCCCCCGTCTTAATCTAAATATTTGAGGGCATACCAGTATCCAAGAGGACCACATGACATATCGTTTTTCATTTTCTGCAATTATTTTACAAATATTATATTTCAATTTATTGAGATGACTAATATCTGTTTAACCATATTACCCACATATGTGAAATTTTGAATATGGTTTTGCTAATGATTCCTTCAAAATAAAATGGAAGCTTTTCAAACATTGGACATCGAGAATATAGTTAGGCTCACTACTTTTTGATAGCCCCTCGTATCCACACATACAAACCAAATAGAAAAAAACACAACTTCATTTGCTGTGTTTGGGTAAAATGCATGTGTAACAAAACTTAAAGGAAGCCAGACACAATAATACAATACAATAATTGTGTACTTTGCAGGCTTCATTTGTTGACGCTTTCCTCTAAGCCCTTGTGTTGTTATTATGTCTGGCTTCTTAATCCCCATTGTACTGTACAAACATCTGCGCCAACTTGTATATATGCTCCTTCATCCTTATGCTGTTCATCACTTGGTTGATAAGGGTGTTAGGACCTACACCAAAACGTCGCTCTCACAGCAATAAAGCAGTTGTTCATCCATATATTGTTATCCTTCCTTAAGGTGAACACAGTCATCTCCTGGATATTCGGGAGAGGTGAGGTGAAATTGGGTTTTACGTCGTGCTTGATAATATTTCGCTCATATGACGACGTGCATGCGTATGTATGTGTATGTGCGGCTGCTTGTACTAGCCCAGACTTAAGCTGGTTTTATAGTGCTAGCCCACTGAGATACCATGCCGCAGTGAAGCATGAATACCCCACTCAGACACAGTATACTGACTCCGAGCCGACCAGTCCTTGTTGTACCCATTAATGCCGAGCGCCAGGCAGGGACCAACAAGTACCCTATTTTAACGTCTTTTGGTATGACGCGGTCGGGGATCGAACCCGCGACCTTCCGCTCTCCGGGCGGACGCTCTAACCAATACACCATGGAGGCAGTCTGCATATTCAGGAGTTTGAGGAAGATCGGTAAAACATCCTCGGCAAGCACGTCTCTTCACGAGAGGGTTGTATTCACGCTGGTGTGTACGACCGCATAGGTACAGAGAAGGGACATTAAGGCATAACGTTGTACGTAAAGAAAGCTATAAGAACCGACTCGAACAGTCACATTAGTAGTCCTTTCATGTGTTTGGAGGACGGGCAATACGATGATGTCGTAAATGCAAGACAAACTGAGAACACACACGGAGATACCTATCGGAACATTGTTTAGGATTATACCAACATACAGAAAATATATGTTTACGATTAAAAAGATATCTTGTTGACTTCGACTTAGATCTTGATTGTAATGTTGCACGTCACATATTTAATGAAGACAAGACGGAAGGAAACATTTAAAGTATTCTAAAGGGACTTAGTGTATGCAGTGAAATGTTAAAATATTGAAAACCTTACCTAACCTCAAATATTATGCCATTACAGCCAGTAATAATTCTGATAATATTATTCATTTACACAGGTTTTCAGAAAACAAATGAAATTGTTTAGCTCTGTTTTTTCCTTTTACAACAGTAAATAAATCATATGAGCTTATTTTTTTGTCAGGAGGCATTTCATTTTCAAACAGCACAATGTATATTACTACTTCATGGTGTTACATGCGAATAATTTTGAGGCGACTTTTCAAGTCCTAGGGATACAGTTCTGGCAATGTTTGTTTGTTTGTTGTTTAAAATCAGCAATATTCCAGTTATATGACGGCGGTCTGTAAATACTCGGGTCTGGACCAGACAACCCAGTGATTCACATAATGATGATCGATCTACGCAATTGGGATACGATGACATGTGTTAACCATGACAGCGAGCCTGACTAGCCGACCCCGTTAGTCGCCTCTTATGACAAGCATGGGTTACTGAAGACCAATTCTATCCCGGATCTTCAACGTAAATTAAGATACACATCTTTTTATTACTTATACACATGTTTAGTAGTATCTACTATGGCACATTGCATACTGTCCTTCATTCAAACACTGAACCAAATGAAATACTTTGTGCGGCTAGATGTTGATAATATAATCTTCTTTCTGGAGAGAATTGTGTCGCTTGTCTTTACACAATAGGTGGGGACAAGTGTGGTACTGGGTCCACTAGGTGAAAATCATTGACTGATCATGATGGACAGTAACGTTTTTACACAGAAGGACGTTTACACACGGCGACGTCTACACAGGGAACGTTTCCAGAGAGGGACGTTTACACAGAGATGACGTTTCCACAGAGGATCGTTTACATAAGGAACGTTTACACGCAGGAACGTTTGTAAACAGAAGGAACGTTTACACACAGGGATGTTTGCAGAAGGAACGTTCACACGCAGGAACGTTTACAGAACGAACGTTTAAACACAGGGACGTTTACAGAACGAACGTTTACACACAGAGGACGTTTGCACAGAGGTATAAGATCGAGAAGTGTCATTGTTCCTGGTATATGTCACAGGAGATGAGGCGATGATATTCTGATATACTGTGAGGTTAAAAGATCACTGCGTAATCACCATACAAATAAAGCGCCACTTTGTTGAGACCAGTGTTATAATATATTTGTATATAGCAAGTAATATAAGCGAGTTGAGCCGTTGGAAGCTATTTGCGAATTTCTATACTAAACAACAACGCAAAACACCTCACATCACCCAGACTGACTGAATTCACCCAGACTAGATTCATACAGTTTACACATCGGGTTTATGGTTCAAATCTAAATGAACCCAATAAAAAACACATACTCTGTCAGTCAATCCTTAAATTATGTCGTCAGATTCAGAGAATTTATATTGTTAATGGAAAGGATGTTGTCGCTTTTCCGAAGAGAACTTATACAAGTGCAACAAATCCTATAAAGGGGCTGAATGAAATTCAGAAACAGAACCATATAAACTGAGATTAAATATATTTTTATTTAGCAATATTAAATACACTCAAAAGATACTTTTGATACTTAAGTTGACTTTAAAATACATAAAAATGCACACTACACAACTGTTGTGGGGTATGTTAGACGTCTTACAAATTTACATTTACAAATTGTACAATGCCCGAGTTTAATGATCCATTTTCACAGTACTTTTCCCTTTTACCCCCATTGAAAACCATTTCGACAGATAACCGGGTGTGGTTATACCCTGGCGTTGGTTAATGTACATCCTTGCTATCTATACATTCAGCCCTTTATCCCATATCTGCGTTGTATATCCTGGCTGGAGATAAAAAAGCTTGCTGGTGTTGAAAAGCAGAAGCCGACATGAGGCCTACTGTCACTCTAGTGTGTAATGCCATTATATTGACTTTGGGGCATTTTGTATTGATTTGTGAACATAGTTAATTATACAAGTGTTAATTGCAAAATATTTCTTCAGAGTCTGTTTCACGCTGCCTTGTTATCTTGTGTTCTTGGTTACCTTACTATTTCAATTTATAAGATACTGTAAAACTTTTCAAAGCTGGTACATGCTTGAAACCGTTGATAGGCATCGATGTAGGCATTGCTTAAGCAGTTGCCTTCTGTGACCAATGGAATCGTTTTCAGTGCACTGATTACTCCCTATTGACGATTTATCTTTATGTCAAAATATATCCGTACGTTCAACATGTTATTATTTTTATAATCACATCTACAGCTGGCATATAATATACGTTTAATACCTATAGCTACGTATAGAATATGAACCAAATTATTGTATGACTTTGGACATCGACCAGTAACATATGAATCAAAATTGCTGAGTATATCAACTGCTTAGGTTGATGAGAATTGACTTAATGAACATTGCCTATGAACCTGGTTTGGGGAAGAGAGATCTATGGGCCTAGTACATGGCGAATGTGGTTAATCGGACCCAATGCGAGAAAATAGAAGGAAAAAGTACACCAGGCGGAAAATTAAACACCCTTATCATGTGACAGAAAGACTGAAAGTGGATACGACTCGTTCTCTGACGTGCTGTATGTTGACAATACAGTGTATACAGGCTATGTTATGTAAACACACAACCTCTCGTAATGTACTCTTTTTACCTGCATGCTTCATGTGAATTTAACTTCCTGGTTGGTATAAACATGGCGTGCTGTGCACACTGGGTGAGAGAGACGTCGATCGTGTTGTTTGTAGTTTGTTCTCTGCAGTCCGGATACACCAGTAAGTAACATGCTACATATTAATGTAATATTTGTGATATATCATTCGATAACCTACAGAAGTGACACATTCATGATAATGTTCAGAGGTATGCTTGCCTCGTTGGGATTGTTTTGACATGACTGTTGAAAATCACGTTTTACACAACTTAATATCAGTTTTCGTGTCGCGCAAGACTATCTGTCTTTATTCCTCACAAAAATATTATTCCATTTTTAGATAATTATAATCCTGATGACCTAATGTGACAAATGTTTGAAAAAAAGCCGTCTCATATCAGTTGCATGGGTTAATGATAAATTCGGCATTCAGCAAATCGAATTGTAACAAACTCATAACACAAAATTGATTCATTTTATGTTATTGCCTTAGACACTAGTTAAACAGAACCTATTTAACACAAGGAATGTATCATATTTCGTTTTCAAATGATATACTTTATGTAGTACGAGGGGGGCGATCTCAACTTCTTCATATTGGCCAAACTTTAAATGTACAACTTCTTTAAGTGGCATTTAGAATATGGTGTGATGAACACAGGGCATACTACTATGGAGTAACAGTTACATCTTCAAGAAACTTGCTTGATAACAGTGGTGTTAACATCAACACCGAAACGTCGCATATATTGTAATAAGGAAGCTGTATATCCATAGAACTATCCACAAAAATGTACACAAATACCAGCAGTTGTCTTTTGTACAAAGATATAATCTGAGATATTCTCTGTGATGGTTTAAATGGAGCTTTCTAAATAGCAGTTATATGTACCAACAAATACAAATCTCGAAATGTCTGTCTTGAGGTCGAGGAAAGCAGTCTATTTCTCCGGAGAATGTTAATGCAAAAATCAAACGTAAACTTCCGAGACCAAACAGCCTAGGATATCTGCTGAAAAAACCCATTCCAAATTATGGGGATGGGTCACTGAAAGTCTCTGTCTACACCAAGTGTTCACGAAAAGGGGAAAGCATTCCATTCAGTGCCAGCACTCTCACGCGTGTCAGTCAGTAATATACCATGACAAAATCACAGGATAGGTAGAACTGTGTACTATGATAACAAGTCTATTTCCTTTTAATGACTAACAGCTGGTATCATCACTACTTCGTGGTGCTGTCATCGTATAACATGGTGACAGTCACTGGATTGTCTGGTCCAGACTAGATTTGTTTACAAACAACATCATACAGCTGTTATGCTCCTGAAACATATATGTGCTCCTGATATAGTCACAATTATGCAATGGACTCTGCTTCCAGCAGAGATGACTTATTAATGTGGAAAGGGTTTTGTCGTTTCTATCTACTATAACATTCCAAAATAGACGTTCTATACATAGAGAAAGCCTACAGGAGCTCTAGCGTTTGAAGTCTGAAGTAAACCATTTTGGTGCTATAAGCTACAATTATTGCTCAAAAGTGAATTGATCGGGGTTTCAATATTCAATACCTAAGCCAGCATTCGAAAAGAAGAAGTTTATAACAAACATCTGGAGGACGTTTCCTAATTCGATGCATCAATGACCAAAATGATGTCCGATGCCATAGTTTGACGACTACCATAGGTTCTCTATATCTGGTGAACACCTGCCTTTGCATTATTGATAGAGTGATAATGCATCTATGCTCACGATGTAGTCGCAATCCTACAGTCAGCTTTACTTTGGGTTGTCTGTTCTTTATGATTAAGGTAATGTTTTCGTCACATTCAGTCACCTCATGAGTTATGGTTCTGAGTTACGTCCGCTGTGTACAGAAGCCTTAGATAAAAAAGTTCCTTTACTGTTTTGATATTGAAATATTTATCCCTTATGATGGAGAATTCAACACAGTCAAGCAGGACATTCTTGACCATGGTTCTCTCATCACAAGGGATACAAAACGGAGGATCCTCACCCTTCAATACTGACTGACTGAGTTTAGTTTTACGCCGCCTTTAGCAATATTCCAGCAATATCACGGCGGGGACACCAGAAATGGGCTTAACACATTGTGCCCATGTGGAGAATCGAACCTGGCCTTCGGCGTGACGAGCCAACGCTTTAACCACTAGGCTACCCCACCGCCCCTCACCCTTCAATAGGTATGCATGAGTATATCTTGTGTGGTAATACGACATCGTCGCATAATGACATCCCAAATCTGGACTGACAACCCAAGTAGATGTAACCAATATAAGGTTTAATTTCATGCAATTTATTGATACCTACTTGGGTGTCCTGACTTCTTCTGCATCAGATCACGGATGTAAGCTCTAATGCAAGATTTGTAATCAGAGTAAGGAAGAAGAAGTGGTGTCACAGACTTCTTTGAGTGCTGCCTTGGCAGCAAGATCAGCCATTGTGTTCGCAGAAATGCCAACATGGCTCGGTAACCAACAGAGGACGATGTCGTATTGGTCAGTAGCAAGATCATTATACAATTCAATTATTGGATGTTTTAGAAGAGATTTTTTATAGCCCGAAGGCAAGAACGAGAATCTGAAAATATAATTTTTGTTAATATTTTGGGTATCTATTAATATATTTAAGAGCTGTTAGTATTGCGTTTTCTGCTGTGAAAATCGAGCTCTTATCCGGCAATCGAGAAGATATTGTTCTGGATCCAATGACAGTGGCACAAGCTACTGCGCCACCATACTTGGACCCATCTGTAAATAAGGATTTGTATGTATTATATGTATTTCTTAACTGACTAAATTCTTGTTTAGACTGTAATTCATTAGTTTCGGATTTTTTAAATGTGGTCAATGTTAGGTCAACTTGGGGCCTAAATAACTTGCCAAGGAGGAGAAGAAAGAAGACGTGAAGGAGATATATTGTCCAGCTCAATGCCTGCAGCAGAAATGAAAGGTTTAATTCTGAACCCAAGAGGCGGAGCAAGAGAAGGTTTCTTATTGTATAAATCCTCATAGAGTGGATCGAAGAAGACACAATTAAATGCAGGGTTAGATTTGTTAGAGTATAGTTTTGTAGTATATTATAAAGATAATTTTATACGTGTCGTTGTGTAAGAGATGGTTCGTCTGCTTCGACGTAGAAACTGTCAACAGGAGAAGTTCTAAAGATCCGAGACAAAGTCTGGGACCTTGGTGATGGATAGAATCTAACATTTTCAGGTTGCTTTTACAGGCTCCACCATACAATGGAGCCATAATCAAGTTTGGAGCGAATGAGTGATCTGTATAAGTGAAGTAGGGTAGTTTGATCCCTCCATATTTTAATTGGAAACAACTTTTAACAAGTCGAGTGCCTTCAGACATTTAGCCGTAAGTGATTTAATATGTGGCAAAAACGTCAAGTGGGAATCGAAAATAAGACCCAGAAACTTGGCCTCCTTTACAACTTTGATAGGTGTGCCGTTTAGAAATAGTTCAGGGTCTTTATGTGGTTTGTATTTACGGCAAAAATGTATACAATTAGTTTTGGACTTAGAAAAGCCGTTTTCTAGACACCATTTATTTATTTTGTTTAGACATAACTGCATTTGCTGTTCAATAGTATGCATATTTTTACCACGACAAGAAATATTAAAATCATCCACAAGAAGGGATCCATCAATTGAATCATTTAAAACCTTTGATAAACTGTTGATTGTGACACTAAATAAAGTCACAGACAAAATACTACCTTGTGGGACACCTTGATCCTGATTGTAATGATCAAACAGGGTAGAACCCACCCGAACTTGAAATTGCCTGTCAGTTAAAAAGTTGGATATAAATTGAGGCAAAACGGTCTCTCAATCCAAAATCGCGTTAATCTCTTAAAATACCATGTTTCCATGTTGTGTCATATGCTTTTTCTAAATCGAAAAAGATCAACACTGCATGTTGTTTTTGAATAATGGCATTTTTTACAAAGGATTCTAAACGCACTAAATGAACGATGGTACTTCTGTTTTTACGGAAACCACATTGAATAGCTGTTATAAGGTTATTAGTTTCCAAGTACCACCCAAGTCGATTATTTATTATGCGTTCCATGGTTTTGCAAACGCAGCTAGTTAGTGAGATCGGCCGATAATTCGAAGGATCAGTATGATCACGCCCAGGTTTAGGGATGGGTACAATAATAGCATCGCGCCATGAAGAAGGAAACTCTCCAGGTGTCATCGAAAATATTCAAAAGGGTCTCTAAACATGATTCCGGTAAAGGCTTCAGAAGTTGATAATGGATGTTATCAGCTTCTGTAGCAGTATCATGGGCCTGGTCAGGAGCAGTATAGAGCTCATGAGTCGAAAATAACTCGTTGTAATCTTCCCCATTATCTGAAGTAAAATTGAGAGATTTCTTTTCTTGCTGTTTTTGATACTAATTTAAATTTGTTTAAATTGTGGACCATAAGATGACGACGGAAATAATCTTCAGCTTTTTACCGTGCCTTCCTAGCCTGTTTGCAATCAGCATTTAACCATGGTTTCCGTATGTGTGGAATTGTAGAGGACTTTGGGATACACTTATCAACTATGGTCCTTAATATGTCAGAGAAATCTTTTATAGCATAAGGAACATTAAGAAAATGTTCAGGTTTAAGTTTGTCAGTACAGAGTTTTTCATATAAAGGCCAGTTGGCCTTTTTAAACTTCCATCTTGACGATCGAGGAACATCAGTTGGGTTCACGGAATTTAATATTGTTGGGAAATGGTTACTTCCACACAGGTCATCGTGGACTGATCAGTCGAATTCACTCAATAGGTTGGAGTCACTAATAGACAACTCAAGAGCTGAATATGTTCCTGTGCCAGGATGTAAATATGTCTTGGAACTGTTATTATAAATGCATAGATCATTATTTGAGATGAAATCCTCCAGTAACTTACCTTTGGTGTTGGTATAAGTACCACCTCAGAGTGGGTTGTGGCCATTTAAATAACCCACGATCAAACAGGGTTTAGGTAGTTGGATCATAGAGAGCTTGTAGATCAGTTAACTGGATAGCAGATCAAGGTGGAAGATACAATGAACAGAGAGTAAATGCTACTTGTAATGTAAGTCGCACTGCCACGGCTTGAGATTTGTTTTGAGTGTGACTAGGCTATGGATAACATTATTCCTCACCAGGATAGATGATCCACCAGTAGCTCTGTCACCCGGGGGAGAAAAATAGTGGTATGCATTAAACTGACGTAGGTCAAAATGATCTGTCTGCTCTAGATAGGTTTCTTGAATGCAGAATACTGACGGCTTTAGATCTTGGACTAATAGCTGTAAGTCGTTAAAATTAGTTCTGAGTCCTCTACAATTCCATTGAATTATTGGAGAAGACATTATTTCTTCCGCGGAGGGTGTACGGGGAGATCTACCCCTCGCTTTCCTTATATATGTGCATGAATTTATCCCATGACAAACTTTTTGACATTTAAAACACCTCAACGGATTAGGAATATACAGTTCAACTTGAAGATTACAATATCCTGCTTTTATTGATCTTGGTGCCGATAGAGACACAAATGAGAACAGGTACGTGTTGGTTGGAACCACTTCTGAGTTCTGACGTCTCGTAAATCGTTCCACGTACGTGACACCTTGATCCTTGAGTTTTTAGCATGATATCAAGTTCTGTCATTGTGTCCTCTAAAAAATGATCTCTATCTCTGACAATGCCTTTACTAGAATTGAGGGTCCGATGGATTGACACTGAAACAGGGAATCCATCCAATGTATCAATTAACTGCAGGTTAGACGCTTGTTGTCGTTTGTTATATTCTATGAGTAACGATCCAGATCTCATTCGTTTGATATTTTTGACGTCACCTGCTATACCGTACACTGCTTTAGAAACAGCAAACGGGTTGAGTTTAACTGGTTTCTTATCTGGAGATTCTATCACTAGAAATCTTGGCCAGTATTCTACTTGCTTAGATGGTCTACAACTATCAGGTTTACTTTCATCAGTATCAAGCTGACGTTTCTTTTTCAAGGGGGTTTCAGGATTCATGTTAATGTATATAGATTCATCATCCCAGCTCCCCACCCACCACGGAGTATCACAAGGACAATGCTAAAAACAAGTGGACCTCCTACTTGCAGCACCAAGGATACTGGGATGATATACTCAAGCAGAATAATATAAAGTAATTATTCTACCATATTGGCCCATGAGCCACCGCCTTCTGGGCATACGATTGTAGGCAAATTACAAAATTGAGGTTTTTGAAATTCAAAGATAATAATCATAAGCCAATGCATCTAACAGAAATTTTACAGCAAAATAGACATGCACAAGGCTTGGCATGACCAGCCGATTGGTTGAACCGGGCCTATTTAACCACTCGTCTAGGTGAAGTAAGCGGCGAAGTGGTGTGTTGGGCAAAGGAACACTGTTCCTGGAACCAGTGCCTTCAACCACCAGACTCCCGTCCTCCACCGACACAGGGGCGCAACCCACGGCAAACAGGTTGGTGGACCAAATATACCCACGGGTCCACAACGGGGGTTGAAGAGCTCTTAGCGTTACCCAGCACCCACCACGAGGAGGTGGCTCTTCTCGGGTGCCACTGATAGTGTACTGACAGTATACTGATGAATGTGATAGTGTACTGACAGTATACTGATGAATGTGATAGTGTACTGACAGTATATTGATGAATGTGATAGCAGTATACTGATGAATGTGATAGTTTACTGACAGTATACTGATGAATGTGATAGTGTACTGACAGTATACTGATGAATGTGATAGTGTACTGACAGCATACTGATGAATGTGATAGTGTACTGACAGTATACTGATGAATGTGATAGTGTACTGACAGCATACTGATGAATGTGATAGTGTACTGACAGTATACCGATGAATGTGATAGTGTACCGACAGTATAATTGATGAATGTGATAGTGTACTGACAGTATACTGATGAATGTGATAGTGTACCGACAGCATACTGATGAATGTGATAGTGTACCGACAGTATAATGATGAATGTGATAGTGTACTGACAGTATACCGATGAATGTGATAGTACCGACAGTATACTGATGAATGTGATAGCAGTATACTGATGAATGTGATAGTGTACCGCCAGTATACTGATGAATGTGATAGTGTACTGATAGTGTACCGACAGTATATTGATGAATGTGATAGTGTACCGCCAGCATACCCCATTGATGAATGTGGTAGTGTAACTGGTAGTGTACCGACAGCATATTGATGAGCGTGATAGTGTGCCGACAGTATAATGATGAATGTGATAGTGTACCGCCAGTATACTGATGAATGTGATAGTGTACTGATAGTGTACTTATGACAGTATATTGATGAGCGTGATAGTGTACCGACAGTATAATCGATGAATGTGATAGTGTACTGACAGCATACAGATGAATGTGATGAAGTGTACCGCCAGTATACCTTGATGAACGTGATAGTGTACTGACAGCATAATGATGAATGTGATAGTGTACTGATAGTGTACTGATGAATGTGATAGTGTACCAACAGTATAATGATGAATGTGATAGTGTACCGCCAGTATAACTGATGGATGAATGTGATAGTGTACCGCCAGTATACTGATGAATGTGATAGTGTACTGATAGTGCACTGACAGTATATTGATGAATGTGATAGTGTACCGCCAGTATAACTGATGAAAGTGATAGTGTACTGACAGTATACTGATGAATGTGATAGTGTACTGACAGTATATTGATGAGCGTGATAGTGTACCGACAGTATAATGATGAATGTGATAGTGTACTGACAGTATACCGATGAATGTGATAGTGTACTGACAGTATACCGATGAATGTGATAGTGCACCGACAGTATAATGATGAATGTGATAGCAGTACTGATAGTGTACTGACAGTATATTGATGAATGTGATAGTGTACTGTGCCAGTATACTGATGAATGTGATAGTGTACTGACAGCATACCGATGAATGTGATAGTGTACTGACAGTATATTCATGAGCGTGATAGTGTACCGACAGTATAATGATGAATGTGATAGTGTACTGACAGTATACTGATGAATGTGATAGTGTACTGACAGTATACTGATGAATGTGATAGTGTACCGACAGTATAATGATGAATGTGATAGTGTACCGACAGTATACCGATGAATGTGATAGTGTACTGACATTATACTGATGAGTGTGATAGTGTACTGACAGCATAACTGATGAATGTGATAGTGTACGTGACAGCATACTGATGAGTGTGATAGTGTAAATTGACAGTATACTGATGAGGTGTGATAGTGTACTGACAGCATACTGATGAATGTGATAGTGTACTGACAGTATACTGATGAATGTGATAGTTTACTGCCAGTATACTGATGAATGTGATAGTGTACTGCCAGTATACTGATGAATGTGATAGTGTACTGCCAGTATACTGATGAATGTGATAGTGTACTGACAGCATACTGATGAATGTGATAGTGTACTGACAGTATACTGATAAATGTGATAGTGTATTGACAGTATACTGATGAGTGTGATAGTGTACTGACAGTATACTGATGAATGTGATAGTGTACTGACAGTATACTGATGAATGTGATAGTGTACTGCCAGTATACTGATGAATGTGATAGTGTACTGACAGTATACTGATGAATGTGATAGTGTAATGACAGTATACTGATGAATGTGATAGTGTACTGACAGTATACTGATGAATGTGATAGTGTACTGACATTATACTGATGAATGTGATAGTGTACTGACAGTATACTGATGAATGTGATAGCAGTATACTGATGAATGTGATAGTGTACTGCCAGTATACTGATGAATGTGATAGTGTACTGATAGTGTACTGACAGTATATTGATGAATGTGAACGGCAGGAAACAACAGTTGGACGCGAGGTACCCACTCTGGTTTCACATTTCATGATGGAGACATCACTGATTCATTCTATGTAAATCCAATCTTTTATTTATTTATGTGGAAACGACACAGAATAGAGTGGTGTGCTTGTGAAAAAGATGACCGTGTTTTGCCTTAAATCAGTTGCTTGAAATCCGTTTTCTAGAAACTCGGATACAAATTATCAATGAACTAGACAACTGGTGGGAGGCTGAAAGACGATGTAAAGACAACGGAAACAAGTTGTACACACCAGGCACAGATGACATCCCAGAAGAGCTCGTGGAGAATCTACAGCCGGCAACATTCTACTGGATAGGTGCCATGAGCTACAGGGCCTGGCTATGGACAGGTACAGTGAGAGCTGCTAGATATTTATCTCAACTGGCCACACTTTTATTGTGAGAATGAGATTCAATATCAGTCACTCACTTTATGGTCATTTTGTAACTTTACCCTAAATTTAAACATAACCGTCTCACAAAGAAATTATACAAGATGTATCATGAATACGGTACGTGTCTTATCAATAGACCTAAAGATGCTAGAATACAGTTTTTCTCTAATATATTACCTTCAATTGTCCAAATACAGCAGATTTCAGCCCCTGTTCACTGCCTATGCTGGTTTACTTCCCCTGGGGAGTGTGGCAATAGAATCAAAGGCAACATATCTTGATAACTCGGTATGGAAGTGCAATCTTCACTGCAGTCCAGCATATTCAGTAGGCATGAAGGTGAGTTGTATATATCACTTGAAATAGATGCAATAGATAGTGGTTAAATGTGTGAAGACCAGGAATCGATTCCAAACATGGGCACAATGTGAAGCCCATTTGTGGTGTCCCCCGCCGTGATATTGCTGCAATATTGCAAAAAGCGGAGTAAAACGAAACTCACTCACTCTTATTTGTCTGGGTTTCATCAAAGTTGAGAACGCGAGAGACCTTCCTCTTCATGAAGCTGACACAAAATATCACCAAACTCACTCACTCTTTCAATGGATACACCACCACATTCCATACACATTGTCTGATTGTCAAACATGCTTTAAAACTGTTACGTCCTCAAGGACAACAGCAGTCCAATTCCTTAGAAGATTTGGTAATTTCTACAGGTCAGATTTCACACTCAGAATACAATTAACTGACAACAATTGGTTTGTTTTTCAACTGTATAATATGTTTAGAGACATGGTCAATGAACTGTTCAAAACTCCATTGCGCACATTACATTTAGGGCCCAGTTTTGTTAACTCTCATGTTACCACATAGCATTATATCTATTTATGTGTGCATACACAGGGAACCACGTGCTATTGTTTGAAAGAAGGATATAACACTACGAAGTCGATGCTATCCGAGAACACGTGTCCCGGAAACTTGGAGGAAAGGTGTGGCAACATCCAGGGGATGTCAGTATACAAGCTAGGTACGTCTACGATAATTTCATCCCTACATAACATAAAATATTTCTATGACACTGATTAATTTTACTGGATCAGTGGATCGATGCCTGACAGGAACAACGTAATTTGGTTATTATTTATTCAGCCTTGCTGCCATTTAACTACATCTGACACGAATTTGAGATCTGCTTAAATGTGAGGCTTCAAAATTTCTTTTAGCAGTATTTTGCTTACTATTTATTCATCCTTGTTTCGAAAATTTGCCTTCGCACTGAGCGAACCAGTTCTACGATGTATTAGAATTAATCTGTATGAAGCTAATTGGACTCTTTAGAAAACTCAGCCAATACACCTATAAGCTACATTACACCCATACGGTCGTTGTAGGGCTCTGATGGTATAGTGGCACAAGGCACAGGGCTGTTTTGGACTAGGTCGTTGTTCATAGTTACCACACTTCAGTTCCACGGTCACAAAAGGCGAGTGGTCTGAGCCTACAAGATTATATTCCGATTATTGTTAAAGTAGTGTTTCTCTCAGTTTTAGTAGTATCATAGTAGCTTGGTAAATGGTACATCTTTAAAGTGTAGATCATTCAGGTAAACTTTGAATGTTTGAACTGATATTATGTCTTTATTGTTTTTAGAAAACATGATATTTAATCAAGAGGATGACACGTACTGTGCTTATGTGGATGACACGGACCTTTCCATCCATATCAGAACTTATGACGATTGCGAAAAGTTCGAGGATTGTTACGCCTGCTTTACTTTGTTTGGTAAGTTGTATCATGTTTCATCCACAATAAGTCTCCGCTGATATTTACGTTTAATTTTAAGAAACTTTAAGCTGTGTAATGTGTGTCATTTTCGGGATCATAACACATAAATGTATTAAAGACCATTGTCCTAATTACCACCACCGTTAATACATGATCATGTATTACAATTACCACTTTCATAAAGACATGTTACGTTTTACAAATAACACTACACTGAATACAGGATACTATATACAACTAACTCGACCATGAAGACATAACATGACTCTAAAACCTGAAGATACAACAATTTCTCTTCTGCACAAGATTCCAAAACTCGATAAATTTCATACAAAAAGAAGAGATGAATATCGACACATTCCCAGTTACTTCCCAGTCCAGAAAGATAACTTGTAATCGTTGTTATAATCCAGGTCGGACTTACCTCATATTCAGGAAATGAAAATGGGACAGATAAAATATACAATATAGACTGTGAAAACCCCCTGAGAATGTGTTTACATTTTTGAACTCCCCGAAATAATATGAAACAAAATTCTGTTCTCGAAAACATTCGATTTTCCAAATTTGTACCCCACTTTTATTGACAACAAAATATAGGGATGGCTAACAAATTTTATTCAGACTTTCGTCATAACTCCTGTGTGAAACTGAGGCATAGGACAATTAGGCAAGACGTAAGCGTGGTTGCCACATTTGATCTTCTCTTTGTTACATACATATGCGGAAAGCATACGCTGCTGCACGCGCACCACTTCAGTTTGAATAAACACGTTAACGCTTGTTTGTTGTCTGACGCTACAGAACAGGACTTACACCATCACGTCTTATCACGCGCCCTCAGAAGATGGTTTTGTTATTTTATAGGTACACGTTTATATAGGAGTATATTGTACACAGTCGTTATATGCAGCGAACTAGAGACGTGTCTTCTGTAAATCCAGTAATCTGTTCAGAGCAAAATGGTGGTGAAAATATATGAATGGATAAATGGAAGCCAGTCATGACACCAGGTGTTAGCGCAAAGGGTTCTGTTTGTTGGCTAACACAGCATGACTACTGTCATACCTCACAGAATCAAGGCCAGTGTTTCGGCGGTATGAGGCCAGTCTTGACCATGTCTCCATGCACTCGCCTTTAACAGTTTTTCTTTCATTTTATAGGTGCAAATACAAGTATATCTTGTGGACGTCAGAAGTCATGGTATGATGCCTGGAAGGTATGTTATTTGGTTAAACTGAATGCATCTGCTCGGACCAGTCTTCTTGGAAGCAGCAGTAACAGCACAACATACTGGATCGGTTTGTACAAATATCTGCACAGGAGATGGATAAACGGTAAGTAGGGCTATTTTAAAATTGATTTATATCTGTTCACAGAATAAATCATATGAACACATACAAAAATTTGAGGTGAAAAAAATGATATTTTAAAATAATATTGACAAATACGGGATGGTTAATTAAATTTCTTGAAGTCAAAATTTCAGAAGTCAAAATGCATTCGTGGACCTTAATTATGATAATAACAGGAATGGCGAGATTCCAACAGCTATCATAGTTTCGTGTCTATGTTATGGAAACCAATGACTTCGTCAATGGATTTCCGAGTTTCGAATGTGTGTACAATAATCTCTATGCGTTCTTGTTGCACTATTCTTTAGTCAGATCCACTTGGAAATTTGGTTGGGAACCATTGTTGTATGTTCTTCGTTTTATATCTAACATATTGTCTCAGCTATACTCGCATATTTGATCGCTAGTTGTCTTATTCAGGTTCAGACAATACAACGACATACTTGAGAACTGCACAAATTATCAGGTTCATTTATGTCCCTTTTTATATGTTGCATGGCTCGGTCCATACTGACTGAGTTGCATTATCGTCAAAATAATCACAGGTTTTCAGCATGGTTAATGTACATGTGAAGATCCGAATTTGGTCTTCAGCAACCGATGCTTGTCATAAGAGGCGAGTTACGAGATCAGGTGGTCAGACTCAATGACGTGGTTGATACATGACATCGTAGCTCATGTATATTGATTTAAAGCGAAGACTTAATGTCTCGATAGAATGGTAATTGATGACGTACCTGAAATTTGAAGAACATTTCGTTTTAAAAGAGAAAATCAAGAGTACGATACTATACATTTTCACCTGTGACACTGACTTTACAGAAAGTACAATTTATCTGAAAGGCTATGCTATAACATGTGTGTATATCCTGTTCAATGTTTTCTTAGGTGAGACGGCTTTGAAATACAACTGGTACCTCGGTTACTCAGACACCATGTGTCTCAGTGTATACAAGCAGAGGAATCGAGGAAAGCGTTTATACTGGAGGCCATGTTCAGGAAGAATAAAGGTCCTTTGAGAAGATGGTATGGTGCTTAGTTCACTTCTTCACTCCAGTCATCCTGGCGCTGAAACCAGACAAGCATACAGTAGCTTGTGTCTTCCAGAAACCAGTTGAACTAATCTGTACCATTTTTGTAAATCACAACTGAAATAAGTTCATTTCCAGACCTTTAAATAGCTATTCTTAATCATATATCTAACAAATGTAAAACAGATCGGAAAAGTAGGGCACATGTGTGACCAAGTAGTTTTAGGCATCAGAATTCGCTGAGCAGAGTCGCAAAATGTTTGCAAAATATCATGATCGGATACACGATTCACCCTGGATTTGTATACTCGGTTTGTCAACACCATTATCGTGCTTCTTTGGCTTTGTGCTAACATGTGCAATCACATCTTAGGCTGATGCGCATTGTGTTTCTGATTAATAGTGATAAGAGCAACGTAAAACGCATCTCACTCCCCTTTACATATACCGTTGTACCAGCTGGGTAATGTATTGAATCATTATATTTGACTCGAGATGTAGTGTCCAGACATGGACATATAATAAAATGCAATTCTGTTTTTTCTAACAAATCAAACATTCAAATGCTACAACTGACTGAGTTTGGTTTTACGCCGCTTTTTGCAATATTCCAGCAACATCACGGCGGTTCAAATGCTACAAACACATGATATTATAGTGTATATATGTGCTGGATAGCCTTTTAAAATAACCATGAAGTACATGCATTTTACATCAAAGGTCAAGATTTACTCTAAATAATGTTCGTGACATCCAAAGAAATGTATAAAGTGAAGGTGGACGAAATTGGGTAGGCGCAAGGTCAATAAGAAAGATGCATGTTACTTTTCGCATGAATGAAACGTATGGCATGGGACGCAATGTATTTTCCTCTTCACAGGAAGTGATGTGCACCGATGATATTGACATTCTTACATTCTTCAAGCTGGAGACATAGGACTTACTGTTAAAATGTACTTAATTTGGCATATGGTGCATGATGGTATGTAATGATATCTGGACTCCATTCAAATGTTTTGCTACTTGTGTCCCTGGCCATAATTTAACTGTCTAGTATTGGTTGTTGAATTGGGTTAAATGCTGGTTTGAACAATACTGAAACTCTATCAGGTGGTCCGAGTTTAGTTAAGGGGAAAACCGGCAATTCACTTTATGTTAAACCCTGCATATTATTTCATACCTCATTGTCAACATCCTGGGAAATCAGTTGTTTGCTTGTTCTTTTTACAGTGTAAAGGGAAACTGTGAAAATGTCATGCTGGCTTAGAAATACACTATTAGCGTAGACAAATGATGGAGACATAGGTCTCATATCTCATCAACACATCACTCCGTAACTCAGGATAAATTAATTCTCAGTATCACTATATGGTTGAGAAAGACCAATATGATTATATGAAGCGTATTATTTAAAATAATGGGACGGAAGGATGGCGTAACGATTGTTTCTTCAAATGTTGGGGTTTGATCCTTCCTTTGAAGATGCGCGTTAGAATTGATCTTCAGCAACTCATGCATGTCGAAAGAGGCGACTAAAGGGATCGGGTGGTCAGGCTCGCTGAGATGGTTAACTCATGTTATCGTATCCAAACTCCGTAGATCGATGCTCATGATGTTGACCACTGGATTGTCTTTTCCACGCTCGATTATTTACAGACCGCCGCTATATGGTTGGAGTATTGCTGAGTGCGGCGTTAAACAAGCAAAAATGGGGTTCGATTCTGGTTAAAATACACGAATGTCAGTTTTATCCCTCTGTCGTAATATATCTGTAATAATGTTAACAGCAACTTTCAGGATGCGTTGCTACAACTGACAGCATCAACTTTACCGATGTTGAGACAGCAACTGCAGGAAGGAAAGATGTGAGGAAACCGTCGATCAATCCTGCGGCCGGTACGTATCAAACAAAGACATTCATGCATACGTTTTATCTGAATTGACATATGTCCACAATTGATGTTCGAAGTTAAACTTTGACAACAAATCTGATCTAAAAAGCCTACGAAATGCCATAACAATCAGCGACTGGTAGGGGTATTTGTATGTAACAATTACATCATAGATCATGCCAGTGTCACCTTCACTGTTCCTGATGTAAAAACGTGCAATCTTTTCTTGTATTATTTTACATATTAATCATTTTCGTAATTACATACGAACTTATTTTTGATTTGATGTTAATATGATTATATGTACATGTATAACTGTTTTCCTGAAGGAGGCTTCATTGGACTAGGTGTAGGATGTTTGCTGCTTGTTCTGACAGTCCTCATTGTGGTGTGTCTCTTGAGAAGGTATGAAGATACTTAATATCGCTAACATATACTTAATCAGTATAATATCCAGTACTAAAACAAATACCGGAAGATAGGTTTTTAGTCTGTGAAATATTATTATGAACTAAAGCGATTCCAAACTACATTCGTTTCAAACGCAGTGCTTGCATATGATCTTTTCTTCCCATCAAATGACATCAGAATGACTCCACTGCAACAAATTGTTAGTAAAGGAAACAAGAATACCAGAATATATTGCATTTCTTCCAGACTGAATTTCATGTTGACACATCGGGTTTCAGGCACAAGAAACTGTGTTTTGAAAAAAGAGATGTGAATCAGCCATTACACTTCACTTCAGCCGCCGAAAACATCACCTATGGTTTAGCCTCTCACGCACACACAGAGAGTGAAGCCGATGCTGTCATCTCACTTCCTGACACAACAGATGCAACATCGGCGTCATCAACGGTTCCAACGGCGATAGTCCGACCCAGTGTCCACAGTGACAACATCAACATCAACAATGCTCAGGTTAATGATGAGAATGAGTACAACTTGCTGTCAACATCCAACAACTCCAAGGTGCCAATGACACATGGGAATCCTTACAATCATCTATCAGGATTTGACGGAGATAACAAATACAAGGGAGACTACGACACGGCAAACTTTGTTCCACAGACAGAAGAAGTGACCACAGGGCTGAAGAACACAGTCACACACCCACGACTGCCGGACGTATCGAGTGGTCAGGAGGAGGAGCAGTACAATGTGCTCGGTCAGCACGACTCTCCCAGAAAAGTTGATGCTGCCGCTGGGGTGTATGACCACGTTGCTACGGACGAGGGAGACTATGACACTGTAGGGTGGGGAAAGAATGTCAGCGAGGTGGATGATTCTTACAGTCATATATAGAGGACAACTAAACCATGTAAAGAAGATACGTATGATGTCGCAAGTCAAGGGCAGCCGGAACGATGTGCAGACGACACCTACAACCATGACGTTGTGATTGAAGACGGTAGAGGAGACACAACCGACTACTACAACACAAGGCGCGTTCTTCGCGACAATGGGAATCTAGAAGGACATGTGGAAGGTAATGATGAGTCTGACAGAAAGGATCAGGAGAACGTCTACAGTCTTGCCAAGGACATTTCTGATGCATGAATGTATTCAGAGGGCGTATACATATTGTTGCATAATGCATACTTTTCACTAAGAATCAGTTCAGCCTAATCGACTGGTGTCGTCTCATCTCTGCCCGTACAACCTGTTATGTGTAAATTATGTTCCTGTTTCTTTCTGATGTTCTTGTTCCTGGTTCTGCATCATGTTATGTTATGGTATGTTGTTCATACCTCATGGTTTGGTCATGAGATTTGAGAATTAATGGATGATTTAATATGGATATGCATCACATCAATTTTCTTCTTTACTTTTATATTATGTTTCATTACATTCAATATATTTTATATTTGCGCATAAATACACGTATGCTTGATTTCAGTTTATTACGATGACAACATTCAAGGTACACCATTTGTAATTGTATACATTTGATTGAATATATTTTCTTCCTAACACTTGCACGGCAAGATTTCCTTCTACGTTTCATTATATTCACTATATTACATTTTCCAAGTGTACATATATAAGTCTTTATAAAAGGTAATAATGTTATGTTTTGTTTCTTTTATTATTAGAAAAAAGCATTGTGTTCATGGTGATTTTCTGAATACCATTATGGATTTCTCACGCGTTCATGAACTACTGGACATCTTTGTGTATTGAATCAGTTTACCTCAGTAGGTGTGGTCAAGTGCACTCGACAGCGAAAGTGTGATGATGTGGGGAGCCATACCCTGCACACGGTGATCTAACGTAGTGGTGGTTCATGGGAATCTGGCAGCAAGTCAGTACATATACCAAATTCTTCACTTCTTCCATTATCAACCGACAGATGGTTTTTTTTCGACCTAACAACACTACACCACAAACGACGAAGACTCTGTTGACTTCCTTCATGATTGTTTGTGATGGGGTTTTGTATGCCATGTTGAAACAAATCCCTGATCTCCACGTGACCACACGTTCTCTGTCGAACGCGCTTTTGTGTTAACGTTCATTTCTACGTTGGTACACACGCAGTTAGAGAACGAATCGTTATTCGTCACCGATCCACACTCGCCACCAGTTCTTTAGCGTCCATGCCTGAATGGCGTTGCTCCATCGTATACGTTGTCGTCAATGCAAACATCCCAATACAGGGACAAAGACCCACATATCGAAGCCATTCCTGATTGTTTGGCCCGATACCTTGCACGTCCTGCAGTTTCCGTGACATTAGCTTGTGGATGGCGCAGAAGAAAGATCCGTTATGGTGCAGGAGCGATGATTTTTGGCTTACCACTTCTTGTTGGTTGATGTTTAACGCCGCACTCAGCAATATTCCCGTTTATATTCTGTAATATATGGCGGTGGTCTGTAAATAATCAAGACTGGACCAGACAATCCAGTGATCAACAGCGTGAACATTAGTCTACACAATTAGGATACGATGTGGCAACCCTGTCCGTGTCCTGTTCCACTTCCTTGTTAGGGTCAACGTGTTGAGCAGAGAAGATGGAAGGACAGACAGAACTGGAAGTTTGAGGCTGGTGACATGGTTTGTTGTCCTTTGTGTGCAGCTGATTCACATAGACAGTGAATAGATAGGTACGTCGACGTTTATGGTACTTTAAAACCTAAAGGGACACTGCGTTCCGGAAATTGGCAGTCCTGAAAATGTTCACCCATGTCTTTCAAATACTACCTGTGTCCTCACTCACTGTGTTTTACAGTAAGTGATGATTACTCGTACAATCAGTGTCTATGGTTTACAGAAGAAAGAGATTTAAAGGTTTACCGCTGAATACTCTTAAAGTCAGTGTCTATGGTTTACACAAGAAAGGGCCTTATAAAAGGGGGTGCCGGGGTAGGGGATGAATTCTATAGTCACAATCAGAATGTTGACCCACATGTATGAGGGGGGTTTATCTTACAATACATAACTACTCCATAAACAACGCCTCCTTTACACAAGGAACTGAATAAAACGTCAAGGCCTATAGTAAAAAAGCACTACAATTTGGAGCATAGTTCCACTTTGATTTGTTACTCATTTACAAGTTTATGATGTTTTATGAATTCGCCATCGTTTCACAGTTTAAATTTCTACAATATTACATATGTAGTTCGATAGTTACCACACTGACTACTGACGGACAACCGAAGGTGCAGGATAGGCTCATATGTTATGCAGACACCTGGTATAACCACTGTTTGATAGTGATCCATCAACACCATGTCACTATATTCTCTGTATTAGTGACTCATCCTTCAGGATAGAACCTCGGGTCGGGCAATGTTCATTTCCTTGCCTTAGATGTCAAATATACATGCTTAAATGTTTTAGAAATTTTTATTGGACATGACTATATTGATGTTCTTTCAGGAGGAACACCGTTCATCCCAAAACCGACCGGGAAATGTACCTATGTTTGTGAAAACTATGCAGGAGACATTTACATGAGGACAGCATGAAGTTTAGAACCAAATCGATTCTTATGCTCTTTACAAGTAAGAGACCAAAACGACACCTTTCATGTATTTCGACATATGTTTTTTAGAATCGCCAATACGCTTGTTTTTTCCTTGATGTGGATGAGATTGTTGTTGATTGGCGATTTTACATTCTTGTTTTAAGTGGGTCATTTAAAAACACGTGTTTCAGTTATGCCTTTCCTTCATACAGAAGTCTACCTTAGTCACAGTCGAATGGTAGCTGCAATCTGCACGCATTAACAACTAGGACATTTCCAAACCCTTACACGACTGTAATCACAACCATTGAACCAGTGGATCGGTTTGCTTATGGTAACGTCGATGAGTTGGCTGAATGACAATTCTTCAGGCGACATATGTGTCTGCATTTACACCTTACCACAATGTCATGTTTGCGTTAAAGGATGTATCATTTTCAGTTCTGATACCATTAAGGATTTCATGTCAATTTTAAAGGAAAGAACATTTTCAATTCAGATGATACTCAAGCTTCATGTCAATTTTATGTCCGATCAAGATCATTGCAATAAATGAAAACAGCATCAACATTATTTGCGAACAGTTAAATCTTACCACATTGCTTGTAATTGGTTGGTTGGTTGGTTGGTTTGTATGTTTCTTTTACGTCGCACCCAGCAATATTCCAGCTACATGGCGTTGGTCTGTAAATAATCGAGTCTGGACCAGACAATCCAGTGATCAACAGCATGAGCATCGATCTACCAGAAACATTTTATTTATCGGCAACAATTACGGTTATTTCGATGTTTGCTTTGTGTCTTCTTGAAGGGGGCGATGTAGTCAGTGCCACACATGCAGATGAAACTGAATCCTCCAGGGACCTGTCAACATGTCAGGCGGTTATCAAAAACCGGTTATCTAATACATGATCTCAGGATGCATGTATTGATGGATTTGAATAGTGGGTCTCTGTTATCAGGCATTTGATGAAATCCAAAACTCATATTTTCAGCCTGACTAGTTAACTGACAGGGAAGTAGGATCTAGGAAAACATGGGTCGCTATATATCCCCGCTAACATATCAACATGTAATTGTATATAACGCTGAAGTGTGGTTGTCAGAAATGTCCTTAAACGGACAATGCCGACTGCATCTATTATGATAAAGGGACGTAACATCCGTACGCGTTACTTGTCCACAACAAACACGATTAACAAAGGAAAATGTGTGTACATATGAGTGATCACGTACCTGTAATATGAACTGAACTTCCTGAATGAAGCAAACATTGCGTCGTAGAGCGGAGCTCGATGTACACACAAGGGATGTCAATGATGTGGTTGTTTGCCTGCTACCTACTATTTAGGTGTACAGCTTCTATGAACATATGTAAGTAGAACGATACATATCAGTTCTTTTCACGAAGAACATGACCTTGGCACATACATGTACAGGTCGGATAACCGTTTTCCGTTTCGTAACCATTGTGTAGAGTTCATTGTATCTGTGATCATATCCTCACTTTTGAAAATAATGTACTATGCATGCACATGTTAGTTCAACCGTTTCATCGGCACGAAAGTCTTTTTTAACACATACATACATACATACATGCGTACGTACGTACGTACGTACATACATACATACATACATACATACATGCGTGCATGCGTGCATCCATGCATGAATGCATGCATTCACACACACACACACGCACACTCATATATATATATATATAAGAAGAAGTTTCTGAAATAATCACACGACACGGATACATACACAACAAACACGATTAACAAAGGAAAATGTGTGTACATATGAGTGATCACGTCCCTGTAATATGAACTGAACTTCCTGAATGAAGCAAACATGTCGTCGAAGAGCGGAGAACGGTTGAACGGAGAAGATCCGTGTCGTGTGATTATTTCAGAAACTTCTGCTTATATATGTACTACTGTACGCTCGGTATTCTCATCACTTTCTTTATATATATATTGGACATGCTTTCCAGGCAGAGTTAAATGATCATGTGCGCAACATGTGCATATGTGCATACATCTAGAAGCATAAGCGTCTATTTACGTGTATTTCCATGTGGGAAATGCTCATATATTGCTTACATTTTCTGTCAGTCTCTCTCCCAAATACTCATTTATGTTATATGATATACACAAATGTCAAAAGTAGATGTTGCATGGAGCATCGTCAAACAGCATGGGTGATGTGGCATATGCACAACAAAATCACTGAACCTAACCAACACGGAGGACACCTATTCTAACATGGAAGTAATAAGAAAGCAATGCATGATAACCACACCACAAGAGAAAAGCCCCATGCTATTGTCGTAAAATGTTGAAATATATTGTATTGGTGATTTTGACTTTTGGAAATATGCAGAGGTAGATATGCGTACTTGAAAGTGTATGACATTGTTTGATACATCTGATACATTGTTCACTTTATTACCTACGAGGGCCAAAATATCGGAGTTCATATTTTTCATACAAAGCCCTAGGGCAAATTAAAATATCACTTTGTCATGGTGACGCGACGTCATGAACAATGGTATGAGGTCACTTTTCTTGTATGACGATGCGTTCTACATGCGGCGACGGCGGGTAGCCAGCCTATGTTTGAAAGTAGAATTGGGTTTATTTTCCTCAATTTGACGAATTCGGTAATAAATAGAATATCATATTCTTGCCAATATCATACTATGTTTACGACACGAGTGACTAAATGTTGGAATTTCCCGAGCGAGAGCGAGAGATATACCGATATTTAGGTACGAGTGTCTATATATGTTCACTTAGGAGATAAACATCCTGCATTGGCCAATTTCCGGGTGTTATTGAGTATTTGAAGCACGGGGAATTCATTTGAAACCTACGGTGTTGACAATTTTACAACAGCCCAGCTAACAATTTCACGTTGTCACAACGTTATGCTTTCGTTGTTACAACGTTATTCTGTGGACTTCCATTTGTGGCCTGATGTGGTGATTGGTCATATTTAAATCGCCACAAAGTTATTTGATGCTAATGTATGTTACGTTGTCTTAAGGGTCTATTTAACGTATAGTTTATAAGTTATCCCAGTAGTGAACAGTACAGAAGAAACAAAGCAGAAATTCACTTTAATGTTTATTCGTTGTGTGTTTTCTGAAGCTGTAGCTGAATAGGGAAGAAAGAATCTCAAAATGAAAAGTTGTACAGAAAACTCTATGGTGACAACAAGTTATAAGAAAGGCTGTTATAGCGTTGTGAGGAGCCCAAAGCATAACGTTTCATCAGCGTAAATTTAGCGGCGTTGTTTAGTAAGGTTGTTATAACGTTGTGACATAACGTTATAAAATGACGTTGTGACAACGTTCTGTCATGCATTACCGATCTACAACCTTCCAACAACGTTGTGTGTTAGCTAGCAGCTGCGCGGTGGATCCTTTATAGGTATGACAAAGCCAGACCCCAAACTGCCTGAATTGCACAGAACTTCCTTGCAGCCAACAAGGTCAAAGTGGATGTCGTGTATCGTCGTGTTCCACGGCGACCACATCCTCCAGCCAACCCACATAAACTGATCCACGCCTTTCATATTGAATGGCTAAGTCTCATCGTGACGTTATCAGACGGGTGACGTTTTCTGTGTCATAGTTTTTGAAGTAGGGATCTTCAAACACGTTATTAATATTATAAATATAATTGAACTTGAGTGATTTTTATATGCCTGACCAATGTCCATTACGTTGACAGCTTGTCAACCTCAATTCAGGCAACTGTCATTATCGGTTGTTCAATGTCTGTCGTTTAAAATATAGATTTCGTTGCAACTTTGTACTGCATGCATATATCTTTTGTGGTTTTTAAACCAGACTGATTTGAATAATGTTACCGTTTGTTTTCCAGCCACTGAAAAGAAATACATATTTGTTGACGACAACGAAAACAACTGGTGGAAAGCCCGGGATTCCTGTAAGAAGACATTTAGAGGAGACTTGCTTGTACAGGCAGCAGATCCAGTCCCTGAAGAATTGTTCTGGTCTCTAGACAGGGGTACACGTTGCTGGTTGGGAGCCATGAGGTATTCAACATGGATGTGGACAGGTAAACCAAACCTACGTTTAAATATAGTTTCACGCAGAAATATATGTTAGCTGTATTGTCGTTTGGAATATTTTGTTCTTATAGAAGACGGCACTCCAATGTACAGTTATACTGGCTACATGCTACTGCCTGACAATAACGGAAAGTCCATACCTGGTAATTGTGGAACCAGTTGTCATCGTGAATGTGGAGGAAAGGCTCCTTTTGGCATGAGCGTAAGATATTTGCTTCATAACTTGTTAAACTAACAATGTTTTCAAACTGTTATCTAATAGATAAAAACCCGTTCATTTATCCTCCAGACAATATTAATTTATCATTGCTTGACTTTATAAGCATAAACATTATTGATTAAATAGTTGAGTGGTGTAGTGAATTCTGTACTTGTAGAAAGACAGGTGTTATTGTCTTGACGAGAACTATGAAGCTGAAGCTGCAAATACACAAGGAAATCCATGTCCAGGGAACTTTGATGAGTTATGTGGTGACGCCAAGGGGATGTCGGTCTATACTTTTGGTATGCATATCAATTATGTCAACCATAATAGGAAGAAGTAAAAGCAAAATCTTCTATAGCCTCACATCTAAGGAATCTCTTCCAAAAGCCGAGTCGTTTGTATGATTGGACTTTATAATGAGTTTGTCTCTCATTATCAAATAGTGATGACTTTAGGTGTAAGCGACAAATGCCGACCCCTGTCCCGTTTCACCCACCTGATATAGAATCAAAAGAGACTGTGAGCGCTTCGTGTTCAGATGACGCCCTTTCTAGGAAACGAACGCTATCAACTGTATGCCGTGGCTTGCAGTGAGAGGAGATTTGAATCCACGGGAATTTACTGGACATTCTGGAAGGTCGGCTGCAGTCGATGGGTCCGTCCGTGCATGATGTGACATCGTAAGCGGCAACACTGAATCGCGTTTGGCAGCAATTACCACTTGAAAGTACTGGACGATTCTCTGGGCGAAGTAGATGGGTAGAGGATCTCATCCGGGCTCTTGGTGGTCACAGTCACTTCTGGTTTTAAGGATTTGTGTTGTTTTTCTTGTCTTTACAGGGAACATTTTGCGACAGCAATGATACTTTATACACGTTAATGGATCTTTCAAGATGCATAGTTATTGTGGCCCTCAAATTTTGTCTCCATTTCGAATTGCTTAATTTAAAATATTGAATCATTAAATATTGTCATCACCATATGTATTTAACTTTGTCAAGGTCATCATCAACTATCCCTTGAGTTACAATATTCATGGCCTTCAGGAAGCTTAAAAAGTTTAAAAGCGTTTGAACAATGGATTTACCTGTGTTTGTGACGGCTACCAGCAGTGGGACAGGGTTAGCTCAGTTTTCCGCAAACATTTTGTATCATTACCATTCCCTGATGATTATTAAAAACATGCTTATGATATCGTCGGAACCGTATAATGGACGCTTTAGTAGAGATCTCTTCTGCTTATGGACATGAATTGTCGGATTTTGATGGCAAATAATCATACACGGTCTAGCTTCACTGGATCCACATTTCACTTGTAGCATATATGACGAAGCTTTCCTAAAGTAAACGCCATAATGGAACTAATGTGTGTGTATATCAATTGGAACATAATAGCTAAACTATAGAATCAGTATATATTTCAGAAATACCTGTTGGCAGTGTTAAAAGATAAATCAAATAATAATGTTTTTATCCAAGGAAAAACATGTCTGCCATGTATATAAATAGTACTTGAGGCGTATCTGATCATGTGCAATATAATCCGATAAAACTTCATCTAAATTAAGACTAGCATATTGATTTTGTATCATGAGAAATATCAGCGATTTTGTTTCTGGTGTTGCATTTATTGGTAACACTTCCTACACCCCAGACTCACTTTGTTAAAAAAACCCAGTTATTCTGCAGTTTTCATCCAAGCGTAATCTATATAACCATCAGTGATACTGTCATAAGTATGTGAAATATATAACATTTAATGTATATTGAATTGATAAACATTTCTTTTTCATGTCTTTTGCATATTTTAGAGTTTCCATTTAAATCGGAAGAAAATGGGGCGTGTGCTTACGCGAAAAGAGGTAATGATTTATCCATATCGGTCAGAAGTTCTGGAGATTGTGGAACGAAAGAAAGATATGTATGTTGCGCCTACGGTGAGTATAATACATTTACGGTGTTAATAATTGAATAATTAGAAGTAACTTTAACCACCCTAGTCTTAATGCTGTTCATTTGGTGTGACAAAAGGGAAAAATATGAAGTCAAACTTAAAATCAAATACAAATATACTTAGGATTCGCCATCACGAATAAGCGCCACTTAGCATTAATGATTGTTGTGAGTGTTTGTCTTGTAGATACCAACTGGATCACTGACAGCCGCGATGGGAGTGTATGTAAAAAACCCAAAATGACATGGATGCAGGCTTATCACACCTGTCGGCCGGTGAAATTAAACAGTTCTATTGCGAAAGATATCGTGAACATTATGGGTTCAAAGGAAACATGTTGGATTGGTCTGTTTAATGATCTGACAATAAGGTGGATAAATGGTAGGTCCTTCACAGTGAATAGTGAATGGCATTTCAGTATAAACAGCAGTACGGATGACTGTTTCTTTACCTACTCATAAGTGAGTGTGATTGTAATCATAGAGAACAAACTTTGCCCGGTACAGTTCAACATCACAAATGGCAGTGTCGTTTATAACCGTTGACGTGATGAGAATCTATTACAGACAACGTCGACAATTACTAGTATCTCTATAAGGTGTTATTAATGTGTACATTAGTATAATGAACATGTCTAATCTTGAAACATTAAAAAATCGTTTTCTTGTATCGCTTTCTAGGAGATGTAGATGCATACTACTACGAATTTGATTTGAACGGTCCACCGCTCCCTCACTGTCTTACTGTATCGATGCTCCATGGAACCAAGTATCTGTCATGGAAGCCATGTTCTGAAGAATATGCGTCAATATGTGAAGTTTGTGAGTACGCGTTGAAAGTTTGGCACTTCATTCCTTTACACCTTCATTACCTAAATATTTGTCATAATGACGAGAAGGGTCAGTCACAGGTCGAATTAACGTGTAGGTTATATTTTCAAAAGAACAAGTAAACACGCTATTGTGTTAATGAAATTTCTTTTCAAGACTCGATTGCAAACATGAGACAGTGCCCTCGGGAGATCAGGGATCCTTACCCTGTTTTATCACATATTTTCAGTAATCCATTTATACATCATCACTATACCTGCAGTTAATCGAGGATGATTATGCTCCAGCGCTGATGGTTTCTATTTAATTCCTGTTTATACAAACATAAATAATATCTAGAATCATTTCAGTTAATAAAAGATTGGCCTAATTAAGGCTATTATTATTTCAAACTGGCACATTGATTGGCTTTTTCTGGTCATCAGTGGTTGAACAGAGCATGTGAAGTTTCATTTTGTTTATCAAGAAGTTTCAAAGAGAGACATCGAACCTCTCCACGAAGTTTAGCTCAAGGTACACATTGTTGTGAGTTGTTCTTGTTATTAACGGTTGTTCGTATTAGTAACTGTCATGTTTGTTATTTACCCAGTGAAACCCCATACATCCGATTCACCACAGCCACATCTTTCATCACCAATAATAACTGCAGTCACTAAAACAGATACTTCATCACTTCCGGCGACAACGGATGCATCAGACTCTCCATCTGGGCAAACAGGTTCAAGTTCAGGAACTACCAGGACTGGTGTGTTTCTATTGCGTTCAAATTCACACATGTTATTTTCTGCACATAGTTCACATGGGCGATGACCCGGTTAGAATTGGTCTTCAGTAACCTATGCTTGTCCTAAGAGGCGACTAACGGGATCGGGTGGTCAGGCTCGCTGACTTGGTTGACACATGTCATCGCATCCCGATTGCGTAGATCGATGCTCATGCTGTTGATAACTGTATTGTCTAGTTCAGACTCGATTATTTACGGACCGCCGCCATATAGCTGGAATATTGCTGAGTGCGGTGTAAAACTAAACTCACTCACTCACATGGGCGATATTCGTATTTCCTAATGTTTACGAAACTACCTTGACAGTATGGATTCTTCCAGTAATTACTCTTCAACAATTACTTCTTTGTCTTGAGTTGTTTGGTTGACGATGACATACCCCATGTGTAATGATTGATCAATAGGGTTAGCAGGGTTAAACGTCGCTTTGATCATAATTTCAGCAACGTCGGGGCAAGTAAACGTAAATTAGGGAGAAAATCCCAACGACTTAGGGTTGAAATAGGAACTACATGTTTATCGACAATGGCGACAAAATGGTTACGGAATCGGAATCGCCATTTCCGAACACCTGCCTCATGAACTATTCTGAATCGTAGGTAATTATACAATTGTGTAGCAGAGGCAATATGATTTGCAATAGTTTTGTTGCTTAACATTATTGGTTTGTTCACATTTGATAATTGAAGGCTTGAGTCTAAAATTGCTGACTGTGGTGTTACAAACAAACAAACTTATTGTGTGTAATCATTGACTTGAGTTTGACAGAAGATATAATCAGGGCAAATCAGGGTATCGAACTCTTGACCTTCTGATTCTTGCACACCTGTTGGGTGAAACTCAGCACATCGAATGTTTTAGTGTTTTTACGAAATGAATGTATTCTACCTCGTGATTATTATACCTTTTCTATTTCCAGGTGCGTTTATAGGACTTGGCGTAGGTTGTGCAGTGCTTGTACTGACAGTCGTTATTGCAGTAATCCTGGCAAGAAGGTGAGCTATTTCGCCAGAACCACTCCAAGTGGGTTATGTGTTTTCATTAGATCTACGTATGTAAATATTTGATCTTGAACCAGATTCGTCACCTAATGAGGTTCATGGAACTTTCGATTTGAAAACAGGTAAACTGTAGATGCGCTCATTCGTCCATGGTCAGTACCCATGTTCATGTATTAATTTCACAAAGCGAGTAAAGCATACTTTACATAAGAAGTAACTAATTTCGTATAATAATTAGGAGTGTCAGCATTTTGTTTCTTTCTGTGTAATATCTGACGAAATTGTGGTGGTATAAATGATACATATTTATTTCCAAAGAAAGGAACCGGATTGGTAAACAAGCATAAGCTCATATGAATACCGCTCTGGGATATATAGATATGGAAAACAGGTCGTTTTAAGATTGTTGTCAAACAGATTAGACCATATGTCAACGGATGTAAACTGGCATTCAACATGTTTTTTGGTGTAAGGTAGCTACAGAAGTAATGACCTGTATATGGCCTTCGAGACTGAAGGTACATAGGGCTTTGACAGAGGATCATGGCCAAATACAGATGCCAAGTTTCTTCGCTAGGACACATTTCCATGATGGCTTCCAGGCTCGTGTCCAGGACACCGGTCATCTTGCCACAAACGGCGAGACTTAATACCCAATCTGTTATTGTCTTTGCGATGTTGACAGAGAGGGGTGGTGAGGTTGCCTAGTAGTTAAAGCGCTCGCTAGACACACCGAAGACCCGGGTTCGATACCCCACATTGGTACAGTGTGTGAAGCCCATTTCTGGTGTCTCCCGCCGTAATATTGCTGGAATATTGCTAAAAGCGGCGTAAAACTACACTCACTCACTCACTCATTCTGCAAAAGAGACGTAGGAACTGCCTTTCGATCGGTTCTATAGCTTACAGATATACCAAAGTAGAGACAGAACTGTCACGGACGACTGTGCTCTCAGTGCTGGTTCATGGTTGCCATGCAATGCAGAGGTGACACGTTTAAAAAAAACCCCGTTATTTATCAGGTAAGAGGATTTTGACAATATATAGACAAATACAGGTGAAATATGAGACAGTTATATTTATTCAGTTGAATTGTGCACATTACGCATAGCACATCAATAAGCGTTATTGAAACTGTGTGTTTCAGACAAAAGAAATTCTGTTTTGAGAGAAAAGAAAGTAACCAGCCGATGCACATCATCACGGCCACACAAAATACAACATCTGATCTGAAGGTACCTCCACAAACAAATGCCTCAGCATACACTGACATCACACTAGCAGATATGACTGATGTCAAGCCAATGTCTTCCGCCGTTCCTATGGCAACTGTACGACCTAGAGTTCAAAACTACGACAATACCTTTCACTCAGATGGAGATGAGAATGATTACAATGTCCTATCACCGCCTGGAAAACATCACGCTCCGGGGACACCCAGGAAACCGATCAACAACCTCCCAGGGCCTGTCAAAGGGGACTACGACACAGCACAAGCGTGGAGCCAACGGCATGGGTCTACTGGGCTGAACGAGTTGGGACCGTCTGCTGCGACGAGAGCTCCAGAGAATTGCCAGGGAGACAACGACGTAGTCGGACAGCACGACTCCGAAGGAGACCCTGAGGTGTATGACCATTTGAGAGATGGCGAGGGGGATCATGCCACATCACAGCAGGGAAAGACTCCAAGAGAAATGGATGAGTCGTACAGTCACATTGGGAGGACCAACAAGGGATTTGATGACAACGCTTATGACGTTGCCAGTGTGAGGCAGACGGAGGACAGACGTGACGACACCTACAACCACACCGACTCTGTTAAAGACAATCCAGGAGATACCAATGACTACTACAACACAAGGTCTCTCTTCAGAGACAACAACGAGAGCCTTGGTCGACAAGATGAGATACCGGACAACACTGATGTCTACAGTCGTGCAAAGAGAATTTCTGATGCATGACTTTAGTAATGCCGTTATTCATAGTTCCTCAGTTTCGTAATGTTTGTTTTGAAATTCAGTTTCATGTTTTAAAATATAATTGTCAACATTTACCCATCAATAACAAAGATTCAGTTGATCTTCTAGATTCCATGGCCGTTGTATGTGGTAAACCTTCAAAACATGCAGAAAACGGTTGAAAGGATAAATCTGAAAGTCCACTTTATCGCCTTGCAGCCTATTAAGTTTAAGAATTTTTCATGTTTTAAATACATGCGAAAAAACTGTACTTAGAAATAATAGCAGCATGATATTATATTAAGCTTAACCCAGTTTAACCCAGAGATGTAATATATGTACATAACTGTTAGGGTACTATGTTGTAAAATAATTAGTAATAATGTTTCTGTATTAGGAATGTTAAACTCCTATACTTTCATACCCTCCTGTTTGTATTTTGTTGATGTATCAAAATGAACGAAATAACCATGAATAGTTTATTCTTTTAGATTTATATATAAATATATATGTTATGCACGAATGCTTAATAAAACATATGTCACCATGAACCACATATTAATGTCATATATTTCTTCCCGCATCTTTCAGATTCGCAACATCGCCCACGTAGGCCTAGCTGTGTTGTCACGTGACAGCCCTCCCGGCTCTCTGATAATAATACTGAATACTGAAGTGTGTTGACGTTGAGTCCGGCCTAAAAACACCGACACTGTTCGTGAATACAGAGTCAGGTTGACTCATGCATAACATGTAGAACCAAACATGCTTGATGCAACACGCTATATTTACCCACCTTTGTTTACTGGCCTAGTTGTAGGGGAATCTCACTTCCTTTGTTGGCAATATCTTGTGTATGGAGTTACTGGGTGTACTCAGTGGTATGTCTGTGTACAATGGTAGATCTTGTGTCGTTAATGACAAGACAAGACAATAGAACAATCGAATTGTGCCGAGATGATCTAACAATGCTTGGGATTTGGAATGCAGGCAATCCCAACAAAACTATTTTTATATTATAATCTATTTATATAGCGCCGAGTTTCAGCTAGGCTGCTCACAGGCGCTTTGTTTTTCCCTCGATCATGCGATGTCAGTCTCAACGGCACGTCGTATTATCAATCTCAACTCCCTGGGGACCATACAACTCTTCCGGCCACTAGGCGCACTGAGTTAATGTGGCTTTCCCATGTTTACGAGGTACCCATTCACAGCTGGGAGGACTGAGACACATAGTCACAGTACTTTGTCCAAGTTGACCGCACGTTGCTGTACCCGCAACTAGTTGTTTGCACGTATTCATGTGGCCACCATCTGGTCATATACCAACGGATTCGTGGGTTCTTTAAAGTGCACAGGGCTGTGTACTATACACTAGGGGTTGTGACAACACAGAAAGAGTCTGCACACAAAGTTGACTCCAAGGTATTTACACCCGGTCACAGGTGGGCTCGATCCCTGTACCCCAAGCTCGCTGGATCACTAGCCTGGCGCCTGAGACAGCTCGACCTCCACGCCCACTTATAATGTGCATTTCAGATGTTTTAGTCCAAACTGATCTCACTGAACTGGGAACTCTTTTGTAGTTACAAGTCTCTTGGGTTTAGATAGGCATGCAGGATTTGTCTCCCTTGTCCGTACAAAACGTATTGCATTTAGCAATATTCCAGCAAAACCACGGCGGGGAACACTAGAAATTTGCTTCACACATTGTACCCATGTGTGGAATCAAACCCGGGCCTTCGGTGTGACGAGCGAAAGCTTTAACCCCTTGGCTATCCTACCGCCCTGAAAACTATAAATCATTGCACGGTGCAATGACTGTAATTAGTTGTCGGTTAGCAGTCGTGTTGGCTGGTCGTGCCTGTTGGTTGTCTCTAGTGGGTAATCACACACAACCCAGAGAAGAGAACATGGTGTCAGGACAAGACAACATGAAGTTTACGCCGAAGAATTGGAAGTAGACAGAGATACAAGTAGCGTCCACTTGACAGAACTCACCAACCAACCCACGAAACAGAATTTCCACGTACACGACAGCGCAAGTGGAAACATGGCCGCCTCCTTCAAGTTCACCCGAACGTGGCCGAACCTCGTGAGTGAGTATGGAAGGATAATTTCGGACATAAACACAAATTACTAAGTAGAACATAGCAAAAATGGAATATATAAAGCCACCATCAGAACTGGAATTTCACACAGCTAATTTAGCAGAAAATTGGAACAGATGGAAACAAAGTATGGATTATATACTGAACCGCATAAAAAACGCAAGTTTTTCAAAATGAATAAATATTCGACAGAACATTGTTAAATATTATAGTGTAAGTACACATTGGTTACCTTTGTTGTGAAAAAACAGTTTGTTAATGTTCAGGTTCTGTTTGGTGATTTCTCTTGGATATTGTACATCGCCAAAACGCAGCAATCGAATTGGCCGTGGGATGTGGTTGCAGAAGTTTGTCATGAAAATCATGATGCGCATTATGTCACGGACACATAGGGGTATAAAAATGCGCTCAAATCAGTTTGAAATCACTCCCGACAAACGCCCACCAAGAATGCCAAGGTTAACGACACAACAGAGGGAACAAACCATCGGCCGTCTTGAAGCTGGACAGAGTGTTGCAGATGTTGCCAATGCATTCCATGTGCATATAACGACCATCTACCGTCTTCAGGAACGTTTTGCTGCTACACAGACCACTGCTGACCGCCAACGTCCTGGACGTCCAAGAGTCACAACACCACGGCAAGATCGACACATTCAACGTTCGCACATCATGGATCGATTCTTATCTGCCAACGAGACTGCCCGACAGACTATTGGACATCACAACCGAGCAATAAGCGGAGATACAGTTCGGCGCAGACTCCGAGCTGTCCACCTCCGTTGTCGTCCAGCTCGACATCCTATCCTCACACCGAGACATCGTCAGAATCGTCTGCAGTGGGCTACGTTGCATCGAAACTGGCGTCATCAACAGTGGAGACTGGTATTGTCCTCTGATGAAAGTCGGTTTTGCATTTCTCATGCTGACGGCCGAGTTCGAATATGGCGAAGACGAGGTGAACGCTTTGCTGACGTATGTGTAATTGAAGATGATGCATGGGGAGGTCCAAGCGTTATGGTATGGGCAGCGATGAGCCTGAATCAGAGATTAGGGCCAGTATTCTTCCAGAATATTGGGATAGGTCGGGGAAATGGAGTCACTGCCCAACGTTATATCGACCAGATCCTCCGACCCCAGGTTGGGCCATTTTTCGTCCGACACCAGCAACACATTTTCCAGCAAGATAATGCCAGGCCCCACACTGCTAGAGTCACTCAGGCATTTTGTCCAGCAGCATAACATCCGACTACTGCCATGGCCTGCTGTCAGTCCCGATTTAAACCCGATCGAACATTTTAGGGACGAGGTGCAGAGACGACTGAATGAAGTCCGACCACGTCCGACAACTGCAGCAGAACTCCAGGCAGCCATCATCCGGACATGTGCGGCAATCCCTAGGGCCTTTGTCAACCGTCTGATTCACTCCATGTTCAGGCGGTGCACAGCTGTAGTGAATGCACGAGGTGGACATATGCGCTACTGACCAACAATGTTTCCATGCATTGACTGACATGTCCCAATCGTCATGCAACAAGTGTTGATTGTTATTATGTACCTGTTTTCATGTATTATCTGTCAAAAGTAAAGTTTTTCAAAATCTGGATTTTGACTTGCGTTTCTTTTGCGGTTCAGTATATTTGAAGTTAGGCATGCCAAAGGCAAACGAAGAGGAAAAATGTAATGTGTTCTTGTATATCAAGACAAGGCGGTAGAGACATATATAATACATTCACATTTGAATGGAAGTTAACAAGATTAATCCTAACCAAGTTTCATGAATATTGCACTCCAAAAGAAAACGCGACCATTGAAAGACATAAATTCAATACAAGATCTCAAAGGAAGGAGGAAACTATTGATGAATATGTTACTGAACTCAGGAAAATTGCTAAAGGTTGCAAGTTTGGATCACTTCAAAATGAGCTAATCAGAGATAGGATAGTCTGTGGTACACATTAAGAACGTGTGAAGGAAAGGTTAAGAGTTGACAATTTAACTCTAAAGCACTGTCAGAAATAGAACACACACACACACACCTCTGATTTTTGGCTGTTACTCTGTAGGATGCGGGAATAGGATATCCAGAAAAGCATGTTTGCTGTAAAATCTGGCAAAACTTAAGAAAAAGGACGAATAGGTGCTTAAAACAATAGATCAGACTATAGATGGCAATTAGATCGCACTGCCAGGTATGACGACGGACCGTCGACTCACCTGGCATGAAATGCACATGGGGACCACAGGCACAAGGGGTCATCTCAAAGATATGATTAACATCTAACGTGTTTTTCTTTCATAAAGTTTATGTTGAGATATGTAAAAGAGTATGATACCCATCGAAAGGTTTAAATCAGCCATCGTATTAAATGTCTAAAAATATATAGGTAGCATCATCATCTTTATTCTCAAACACCCACCAACGGTGGTACATGAGACAATTAAATACAGATGAATATAATAAATGCCAAGATAGCAGGGATGTACATCGAAGATTACAATACATATACATGTACAAGAATGTATCATAACTAGTTTAGAAAGCGTCAATGTTACCAGTTACGTTTTATTTGAAGCCTTTGGAAACAATTCTAATATATTTTGCAAAGTTACGTAAAGTGTTTGTTCTTTTGGATTTGAAAAGGTTTGCCATTTTGGAGAGATTCGGCCATTGTAGAAATTGATTTGGGATAGAAATGGATTAAGAAGATAATGGAACTCATCTGCAACTGCTGGTGAGCTGCAGAGAGGGCAAAGTGTGGCCATCCGAAGATCGACAGGACTGGATGTTATTTGTAAATTGCTACTTGCCCAGTTTAATTCCCCTGAAGGATTATCTTATCTTTGCTGATATCGCTGTCAACCAGCCCGACCCCAATCATCGGCTGCGACACCCGACCTGGTTTTGCTTTTGAGACGACCCCCAATGTCTGTTTGTTTAGTAGTGATAGTGAGACTCCATGGTAGCTACATCCTTAAGAGTTTCACAATTAAAAATGTTATTTTGTACGTCAGCTATGGTTTCTAATGAAGCTAAGTCTAATTTCAAAATGAGCATTTGAAAAGTGTCCTTTGTAATACAATATGATCCCACACTAATTTGCATAAAAGCATGGTCTGTTCCAAATAAGTCGACCAGGCCCCGATTTCTCGAAACAAACTTAAGTCTGAGTTTTTACACAAATTTGAGAAAACGCAGGAAAATGCATTTCCAAGAATAAACTGAAATCAATATTAAACTCAAACTTAGTAGACACGTTCGGT